GGGTTGGGGGGGGGGCGCAGCGCCCCCCCCAGCAGCACACCAGATCCAAAGGTGAGCAGCTCGTGCTTGCTTGCTTGCTTGCTTCCTTGTTTGGTTTCGTCTCTGCAAAGCGAACAAAAGGAAAAGCAAAAGCAAAAAAGAGAAAGTAGAACAGCTGCGAAAAAGAAAGAAAGAAAGAAAGAAAGAAAGACGAAGGACCAGAGGACCAAGGGACTAGCGGACCAGTGGACCAGCGGACTGCAGGGGACCAGCGGACCAGGACCAAAGGACCAGCGGACCAGAGGACCAGAGGACCAGGGGACCAGCGGACCAGAGGACCGGCCACCTACACGACTGGGAATTTGAATGGATTTCATCGCACAACGAATATGTTTTTATTGATTCAGTAAATTTTATTTTTTTGATTCGGTAAATATTTTTTGATACCTATGCCTATCTCCACCGTGACAGCCTTTGGATTGTCAAAATGATATTCCAGCCCAGACGGAGTGTTCAAATCTCCAAGTTCAGTCAAACCAAGCTCGGGCACTGGGCACAACCTCTCTCTCCCTCTCGCCCTCTCTCGCTCTCTCTCTCTCTCTCGCTCTCTCCCTCTCTCTCTCTCGCTCTCTCCCTCTCTCTCTCTCTCTCTGCCTCTCTCCCTCTCTGCCTCTCTCCCCCCCCTCTCTCTCTCTCTCTCTCTCTCTCTCTCTCTGTCGCGCGCTCGCGGTCTTATGGCACAATTGCCGCCGTCTGCTCATGAGAAAGGCCCACGCATATCAATTGGTTGTATTCTCGGTCCTCCTCGCTGCTGGAGCTGCTGCTGCTGCTGCTGCTGCCGCTGGAGCTGCTGTTTCTGTCCTCCGAGCTCTGGCTTTCGCTCTTGATCTCTATCTTTGTTTGCTTTGGCACCTGCCGAAATCACGTTTTGAACCACACTGCATGAGTCGAAAGTTCATCACGCCTTCTTCTCTGTACTGGTATTGATATTGCCTTGTCAAGCACGTCAATGTGCTGATCTCAAACATGCGCAGAAATCCACAGTTATACTCTGGGAATACTGACCTCGAGCTGGAGCAGGCAGGGGAGATGTAGGGTCGACATCGCTATCTGTGGTGTCCGAACTTCCGGAACTGGAAGAACTGCTCTCAACCTACCAGCTGGTCATACTAAACACAAAAAAGTCAAAAACACCTCAAAAATGTGCCTCTTCTGTTTCACCTTGGCTGTCAAAAAGTCACGGACATGCCCTCTGTAAGTACACATCTATCAATCAACATGTGCTAAGGGCTAATGCCTGTGAAATGGCAGGCGCCACCATTCGGCAGCCAGGTTCGCACAAACATACAGGAAAACAAAATAGCACACCAGCCGTTGCACGACCCGGTCATGTGTGTCCCTTTATGTACTCAGTGGGTTTATCTTCTCTTCTGACCAAAGCCGAAGTTCAAACAGGGCCCAGCACCGCCTTGACCTGCAAACCTTTAAGTTTGTGTTTTCACTTTTTGCCGTATTTGTGCTCATTTCCACTGGAGAAAGCCAAAGTAGACGACATCTATACTTACATTGGCTTTAGTGGTGTTCAGGGGGCTCAAATCCCCAATGTTGACTATGCTGCATCTTTTTGAGCCAACACGCCAACTCCACTGCCAACTCCGTCTCTCGCTCTTAGGATTTAAAAAGCCCCTCAGGCAAACAATAGTGCACATCTGCGAAAACACTGCGACAAACCTTGCACATCCAAAGCAATGGCTCCCAAAGAAGTACCACAACCATGTAGGCATGAAGGGACAAACTCCTGTGAGCACCACAGCTGTCTTCCACGCTCAAGGGGCACAATCTTAATGTGAGCACAAATGATGATTCTTGCAATGCCCCTGCTAGTATCTTGCTCTCGGCTCAGGCTTCTGGCTGGCCTTCTTCTTCTTCTTCTCCTTCTTCTTCTTCTTCTTCGCTCCTTTTTAGTAACCTTTGACCATAGCGCCACATCATTCGGCCACACAAAAGGGCAACAAATGCACCAGCCTGACGGCTCCGCTTGTCCAGTCCACACAGGAAAAAACAACAAATGTGCATTCGTGATGCTCAGCTGAGATGCCATTGGGGTGCTGGGCAGTCCATGCCATCTTGCTTTGGTATTGGAAGAGTTCAATGCCTCAAGCACAAACCGAACCTTGCACAAACCGCCGAACAGTTTGATTGATTTTACCGCTGCAACTGATCACAATCACACCCGTTTGCTCGTCAAAGTTCGGCAATAAAAATGGAAACAAATGCAACAAACCACCGTTCCAAGCCTGAAGAGCGTGCATTGCGTGTTGAGCCTGAGACATGGCATGCACCGGCTGGCAGCTGACAACTGAACGTGCCCCACATCTGTCCCCAGTGCGCGGTGCCTCCCCCTCTCCCACTCTCTCAATTCCCTCTCTCCCTCTCTGTCTCTTTCTTTCTCTCTTTCTTTCTGTTTCTTTCTGTTTCTTTCTTTCTCTTTCTTTCTGTCTTTCTGTCTTTCTTTCGTTCTTTCCTTCTTTTGTTCTTTCTTCCTTTCTTCCTTTCTTGCTTTCTTTATCTTTCTGTATTTCTGTCTTTCTGTCTTTCTTTCTTTTGTTCTTTCTTTCTTTATTCTCTTTCTCTCTTTCACTCTCTCTCTCTCTCTCTCGCCCCTGTCTGGAGCCTAGCCCTCCGTCATTCTAGGCTACGCAAAGGCAAGTGCTCTAAACTAATGTAACAGTTCGTTGGGCGAAGTGCAGTAACTTGCTTGCAAAAAGTATGCTAGCATGGGGTGTTGTCACATGATTGGGAAGGCAACGTTTAGGTGATGTTGGTGTTGTCGGCTTTAGTTCTAACTCAATAATGAACACCGTAAATCGTGCCTGTGGCTACTGTGGCCTCTCTGTTTGTGTATGTATGTCTGTCTGTCTGCCTGCCTGCCTGGTTGGCTGCCTGTCTGTCTGCCTGTCTGTCCACAATACATATCTGCTGAACCGGCACCTATTCAGTTCATGTTGCATAGTGCCGGGTGATACACCAACATATATATATATATATGTGTGTCATACATTGTCATACATGTTTGCTGCCTTCATTGCTATTGTGTTTTTCCATGGCCCCGAAGGGATAATGCAAATGCAAGTGACAAGCGTGAGACCTGGGGTCAAGTAGGAAGCACAAAGGAAACCCAAACAAACACAATTGTCCTAACCCCTGTGCATGTTCTTGCCTTGGTCATGGTCGATGTATTCACGACTAAGGTCGTACTTAAGTATTTAATAAATGGTCCTTTGTACATACGCAGAAGTGAGACAAAAGAAGTGAGACACTGCAAGCAACTATGTGATACCGAACGAAGTGCATACAAAAATAAGTGCAAGCAACTTTGTGAAAAGCACGAACGCCATTGAGCTTAAACTTGTGCATCTGCAACTGACACTTGGAACCTCACCCAATCCCCTGGATGAACCTGCATGGAATTTGCCTCCTGACACCTTTTTCTGTGGAACGTTCAGGGGCCTTATACTTCGAACCTCTTCCGGTGGACGCAGTGGGATGGTAGCAGGGGTCTGGCCGCCATGGTCAAGCATCTTCACCCGATATAAATCACTTACAAACATGTTCACCTCGGACTTTGAGAAAAAGCCAACTATATACAAGTTCTTCTTCAGAGCTCTATGTCCAGCGCGCAGATGTGGAAGCAGCTGTACATGGATTTCATTGCGAGCAGCACTCGTGCAACATCTGCACCATGAGGCAAGGCTAAAGTACCCCTTTTGCTTGCCCTGCTCTTTTTCGCATGCATTTGCCAAAGAAAGAACTGAGGTGTGCACCACTGGGCGCAGCTGCTCATTGATGATAAGCTGCTCTTCAACTGCTCTGACCCTCAGAAAACACCAACCGAAACATTGCAAAACATTAGACCATAATTGGGACACCAAATGTTCAAGCAAAGTGCTCTTCCAAAGTTGGCAGTCGCAATTCGATCTTATCCACAGCTGTCACGAGAGCATCGGAAACAACTTCAGCTACTCGGCCTTACAGTCTCAAAAAGTTCCACCCTCTCGTCAAGGTTGAGAAATCATGCACACAACCATGACATCAGAAATCCAGGCACATGACGCATATTGCCAGTTCGCTGCCCGTTAACCAGTTGTGCTTCAGAGAAGTTGGCAAAAGCAAAGCGGCACCTCAGAAATGCGTGGGCAGGACACTTCTGATTCAGCATGTGTTTTTTTTCAATGGACTGACTGTAGACAAAGCACTGAAGCGCAAAGACTGGTGCATCACCCTCATACCTCACCCCATGCTCGAAGCAAAAAGGAGAAGTCAAGTAGACGCTTCCCGTTGATTGAGGAATATCCCACAGCTCGTCTTGGGCATATGCAGCCTCATTCCAGACACTGACTTCATCCCCTGGTGGTCTGCCTCTTCTCCTGTTGTCCTGTGGTCTGTATGGTGAGTGCCGCTCTTTGAAGTGGCCAATTCGAAGAGTTCTGTGCCCTCCTAGAGTCAGGCTTAGGTGCAGCAATGATGTGGCACCATCCGTGTGAGAATCCATCACCAACTGGCCACCTTGCCATATTTGAGCCTCAACTCCGCAAAAATGACTTTGCTCCCGAAGACTCTTGCAAAAGATCCTCACGATTTCTTTTAGCTCAAGTTCTTCATCGCTTCGACTCAAGCTCTGGAGACCATCCAGAATCCGACTCCACGCCCGACCAGACACCTGACGGAAGGCCTCAAGGAAGGCCAAAATCCGGAGCGGCGGCTGCCTTGATGGTAAGAATTTGTCCACTCTTGGAACAAAAATTTTGGAAGTTCCCCAGAATGCTGTTGCATGCCAGTCTGCCTTCCAAATAGATTCTAACTCTTCATTGATAGTATCCTCTTCAAACCCCCATTTCACAAGTGGCACACTTTGGTTGAGAAAGGGTCCATGTGGATCTTCTTGCAGATAAGACATCAAGTCTTCTGCCAACACATGGCCAAAGGCAAATGGAGCCCTCCCTTCTGGGAGCTGAATGCCATATGAAATCGGACGTTCTTTGTTGTAATGTCTGAACACCGCTGCCTCTGGCACCGAAGAGCTGGCGCTCAATGGAATGTAGATCAAACAAATCGCAACAATACCGATCAGGTCCAAGCTTCCAGTCACACAATGCCCGAAGGTCCTGACAGCCATGAGAGCTGAGCCGAAGCAGCTGCGAAGCTATTCCCTCTCGCTCAACATATGTCAAAAGACCGCAAGCTATTAAAAGCCAAGGTCTTCGAAATGGTGACACTAGCAAGTACATCTGACAAGTTCAGCGGGGAATGACTTCTCAGACCACCATAGATCAAAAATATTAAGCAGCGCACTGTCCGAGGTTGTCCCACTGCCACGTTATTCGTCCTTCACTTTATGATAGGGTTGGAAGCACGCGGCACCTAAGGAGAAGCTCTCTGCCAACACCACCTGCCAGTAAGCGGTAGATTCAGGCTATGTGACGCCCTTTTTGCCTCAAAATTTCAAGTTGATGGGCTCCGCGCACCGTGGAGGAGGTTGTCGAGCTGCGCCTACCAAAAGCAGCTTCCAGGGATAGGGGCAGCCTCGACGTGTGGATTGACAGAATGGGCGATTGTGGGAATAGTCGTCCTTGGTGATGTCCGAGTCTACCAGTTCAGAGGCACAGTGGAGTCTAAGTAGTTTGGGGACATCCGGGCTTGGTCTGGTGGCAGTGTGCCCTGCGATCTTCATGATGAACAGCTGTGAGCTGGGCAAGCTGATGGAACTGCAACTGCTTGGTTCAGCATTATGACCTCTGCTAGGCTGTGGCTTTAGCAACTTTGGCTTTAGCATCATAGCCTTGATGTATTTGGCTCCCTTGGACGAGCAGAGACTGGACCAGGAGCTTGATGGTCACTGGATGTGGATGAGTCACTCGAACTGGATGGGTCCACAATTTCATCATCGTCCACACCTTCTTCTTCCCATTCCTCCTCGCCAAAAGTTCCCCCCTCATCATTGTCCTTACCTTCTTGAGGCAGCTTTTCATCAGGCTGCGCTTCGGTTTCAACTTCTACATGAGCCTGAGGGATATCAAAATCTTCTTCATCAATGCTCTTAGTTGGCAATCGTCTGCAGCAACAGAAGGCAACACCTTTTGGCTGCGAACCTTCCTCATCAGGGTTGTGGGATGGCTCTTTTGAGGCTTTTCCCAGAGACTTCAGCGACTCTTTTGATTTCTTCATCCTATCCACCATGGACTTCTTGTCTGACATGAGCTGCACTGTCTTCACCAAGTCGTCAATCTCCCGTTGACGGATTGCGAGCTCATCCTCGTCGATCTCTCCCCGCTTCAGTTGGTTTACCAAGTCATCTTTCGACTTCTCTGCCGAAAAAGTTCCGGCCATGACTTGCCTGCGAAGTTCCAAACGACGTGCCACTTTAGCTCGCGCATTCTTACTTGCAGCGACAGGGTTCCGAATTGTTTGCCAGAGTTGCTTTGCGGAGAACCTCTCAAATCTCCGAAGACACGGGCAACAATAGGTCAAGAGTTTCCACAATCGTCTTAGAATACCACCAATGATACGTGCCAATCTGCTGGCCAGTAGCCACGCCAAGACCGGTTGCAAGGCTCGTCGCCAGAAAGGTTCGAGGATAAAAGTAAATATTGCAGCGGCCACGGGCTTAATCGCAAAACCCCATGCAAGGGAGAATGGCAATATCACGAGTCCAAGGACTCGTCTCTGGCTCACTTTGCTCTTAGGCTGAACGTCACCAAAAACATTCGCCTGCGAAGTGCGGCAGCAGCAACGGTAACAGCAGCACAAAAGAAGAAGTGCTGCACCCGCTGCAGCTGCATAATGCCACCATTCAAAACTGCCAAGATTCGCAAGGCCTGGCAATTCAAGGCCAGCATCTTCAACCAATGGCTCCCAAAAAGCAGAAACTTTGGGTCCTTTGTCCATGCCAGACCAGTGCCTCAAATTTAGCGGGCCACAATGCAAACGCAGCGAACAAATTGTGGAAATGAGAAGCGGTGAAGGCAGATCTTCATGTTCTATTTGTGACTCCCACGCATCAAGGCCGACCACTGCCATGCCCAGAGGGCAAAGGCGCATTTGTTCTTTTACATCTGCTGAATCCTGTTGCTGGCAGGCGTCGCAAGTCTGGGACAGCTCGCTGTACTGGAAGTTTTTGTTGCAACAACATTTGTCTGGATTTGGACATGGTCTCAAGTGCTGGATCCCCTGGCAGTCTGCCCAATTTTCTGAACCATTGATGGGCACTAAGCCCGTGCAGTTTCCTGCGGGGCTCTCTGCCCCTAAACTGCTTGATTCTTCACCACTCTCCAGCCAGGACATCTCACGCTCCACTAGGGCCCAAGGCATGCACGCGGCTGTCAGCCCTTGCCCATGGAACGTCAGGCCAACAAGCAGTCCGGAGGCGCCTTCATCACAAGCAATCTTTGTCGTTGTGGAGTCAAGGGTGGCATGCGCAGCATCTAAAGTCAAAAGCTGTCTATTGCCGATCACTCCAGTTGCTCCCGAACGCGGCTGCCATTGAGTGTGGTTGGTGCCAATGTCCAGCTCCTCACGGCAAAGAAGCTGTACGCTGTTGAGCGAATCTGAGGCCCCCAAGCTAACAGCCCGTATGCCATAGGCATACATGCCTCGCGGACAGGGGTAATATGATCGCTCAATCTGAAGGCATTCCTCTAAATCCTGCGAGTCCTGCTCCAATTCAACTGTTGCAACCTGTTCATGAGCACTTGATTGACTCGACTGATCGGTGCCATTGGATTCTTCAGACAATTCTTCCCGGAGGCTCATGTCCAGGACGTCCTCGGTCCAGTGGCTCTCCACCAGTAACTGGTGTAGAAGAGCGCCATCCTCATACCAAGCTGCTACCCAAAGTGTGGAGAGTGGCAACGTTGCCACAGCATTCTCAGCATCCACACTAGCTAGGGACACGCCTTGAATGGTCAGGACTTCTCGCAAAGGAATGGAGGGAGCTTGGGAGTATCCCATGATGTGCAGGTACGCACTATTTCCGTCACAAACACAACGCCAAATCCCTGGCGAAAAGCCAGAGGTGTTGGCAATACTGCAATCATTCAGCCACTTCAAAGGCTGTGGAGCTGTGAGTTGAATGAAGCTGCCTAGAACAATGTCCGCATTAAATTCACTCCTACCATTGAAGGCCCTTGTCCAGCGGCTTCCTGCAAGTCCAGCGGCTGTTGGCTTCAGTGCTTTGGACAGTGATATGGCAAAATCAATTCTGACACCTCGCCCTCGACCAACTAATAGCGCTGCTGCTGGGAAGGCTTCTTGTGTGCTGTCAGCTGCAAGTGCGGCACAGAATGGCCCACTGCACCTGCCAAGGGACAAGGAAAGTGGCAAAGGTGAAAGCGGAGCTTGGAAAGCCATAAGCCTATTCGGAGTACCACCAACCAATTCCGTTCTGGCCAAAATATAATCTCCCAAAAGCTCCAGTGCCCAGGACCGGCTGGCTTTTTCTGCAAGGAGCTGATCCCGAGCATGGGCCTGCACTGGCAGAGCCACCCATTCATCATCACCAATTTGCATTGGGGAACCTATCTCCATCACCACAAAGCTAGATTCAGTTGAAGCAAGTCCTGGACTCTGTGAAGTGGCCGAAGCAGTAGCTTCTTCTCCAGCTTCAGGCTCTCCACGCCAACCCAGCGGTGTGCATCGCACAAGGCGGGCAAGCCTTTGTTGTGTGGACAGTAGCCGCCATCCTCTGCTTGACACATTGCTCTCATAGAGCATTGTTCCATTTCGGCTTTCCCCTTCCACGCCAACCATGTGTGGGCTAGGGCACATGACAACTACCGGGTAAGGAGCGGTCAGCTTCACCCGCAGTGGTGTTGCAGCTAATTGCAGCTCTTCAAACAGCAGTTGCGGAGCAGCCCGGAGTCGAAAGGACAGAAGAAGCGGGTTGACACCAGCCTCATCGGATGCAATGAGAGGCTTCATTGGCCCAAGGGCAGCTTCCAATCCATCCAATTGAAATCCATCAAGCCTGGTAAGCTGCAGTGGCAGAACGCTGCTTTGTGACCCTTGCAAGTCTCTCTCTCCCACTTTTGCGTCCATAGGCGGAAAGAAGCCCGGCTTTGTTGTGGAGGCAGTGCTGGTTGTGCCTTCCTCGCTTTCTTCCATCTGAAGGGCTGCAACTTCCCAAAGGTTGGGCCACGACAACTGTGGAGGTGTCAGAACCTGCATCCAAAGTTCTGCAGCTGTGCCTGGCTCAAGATCCAAAATTAGCAGCAAAAGTAGAATATGTGGAGCAAGGCCCCGCTTGCACTGATCGGTTTTCACAAGACCTGGTGGAGTGCTCCCCTCAAGGCAAGGGCCATACCACACGAACATGTCTGGGGCTGTAACTCGCAGCCACGATCCACTCTGTATCTGAATTGATGGAACAAATAACAGAGTGACAAGGATGAGTGCAGAGCTTGCAGTGCTGGAAAATGAAACCATAGTTGTCCGAGGATCAAAGGACGGAACAACTTGCAGCTGCCCTTCTGGCCACAGCTCGATGTTTGTGTTCGTAACTCCCACCTGGGCCCAAGCCTTACGGCGGCTTGTTAGCAAGAGCCATCCACTCTGACTACTTGAAGGGACAAACCGAGCTCGGGCATAGAGTTGGACAGAGGCCACTTGATTGGCTGGAAGAGCTGTAGGCGGTGATGAAAACACGAGGTCAAGGCGCTGGCTGTATGAAGGTCGCTGCAAGTTCAGCTGGTTGTGAACGCTGAAAATGTCATCCACATGGTCCGACAAATCCCAAAGGCTTGTTGAAAAATTAGAGCCAAGCGCTGCCAAACCCAAGGCGACTTCAACTTCATCTCCCAGGTCCACTCCAGTGGCCGGGTATACAACAAGGAGCTCATTTGCAAGCACTGGAACCTGAAGCACGAAGGCTATGGTGAGAAAGTGCCACCGATCAGCCACAATGAATGAAGCTGTCCCGAACATGGCGTCTGCTGACAATGAAGCAAAAGAGCCAGACCCCAAAGCTTGCAACCGTAGCTGTCCAGCAACCTGAAAACCACCTCGATCTTCTGAGGAGCTTCGATCAAGCAAAACTGCCTGACTGAAATCACTGGAGTTTATGCTACGGGCAGCCGTGCTACTGGCAACTGTCAAGTCAGCGGGGCCTGGAGCAAAGCCTAGTCGAATATTTCGAGCTTTGAGAGTATATAGCCGTGTTGGATCAAAATACGAAAAGTCCACCCTCAGGCGCGAGCTTAATCTGATCAGCACAGCGTCAACCTCCATGTCTATGTGCCCCCCCGGATGGCATGAAACTCGTCCGAAAAGAAGAACAGAAGTCCGCCCTTCATCCGCTGCCATATGGCATTGCACCTCTGTAAAGTCCATAGGCTTTCCGGAAGACTGCGTGTCAAGCCAAACCTGGTCTGCCCCAGCAGATGCCAAACGGAACTTCACTTCCAAGTTTGTTGGGAAATGACCTGCCATGGCCAGGAAAGGATGTGTCTGCCTGACCTGAAGCACTGGCAGCGCCAACTGCACTGCATGTGATGTGACCTCGGCAGGCTTGCAGAACACTGCATAAAAAAGGCCGATGGCCTCCAACCGATGGCCTCCAACCTAAGAGCGATGGCCTCCAACCTAAGAGCGACGGCCTGCAACCTAAAAGCGACGGCCTCCAACCTAAGAGCGATGGCCTGCAACCTAAAAGCGAAGGCCCCCAACCTAAGAGCGATGGCCTCCAACCTAAGAGCGATGGCCTCCAAC